GCGCGAAATTCAAAAACAAACAAACGGTCCAGTTACTGAAAAAGGCTTCCGGAAAACTTGCGTTTTTAGGAAAGAATAAGAGTTCCTAGTTACCAAAACATCTTTAAAAAGTCAGTTGGTTATTTTGTTCCTTTTCTGTTGTAAATTTAATGTTATCATATTAATTGTTTGATTGGTTTAAAAATTCCTTAAACGTATCTACACACTACAAACTCGTCGTCCACATATCTCAACCAAAGTTTTGGTTTAAGTGACGGTTGGGAAAGAACATTGGTTTCAATATAATACTCGAAAGTGTCGCAATATAGTGGGAAGAGATCCTAGGTAGTGTGAAGAGAAGAGATCCTCGGTAGTGTGAAGAAAAGAGATCCTAGGTAGTGTGAAGAAAAGAGATCCTCGGTAGTGTGAAGAGAAGAAATCCTCGGTAGTGGGAAGGGAAGAGATATAAATATATTTAGAAATATAAAACAGATAAGAAGTGGGCGTTTCAGTAGAGGTTTTTATCATAACGAAAATAGTTTGAATTTTAACTGTTGTTTGTTCACGACTTTTTAAACCAGTTAATATTATTTAAGCTCATGATTAACAATGCTATTAAGCTGTTAGTTATTCCTCAAAAATTATTCGGGTCGAGCGTGATTATAGCGCTCGGACTTTTAATTCGAAAGTTCGTGGTTCGCAGTTCGTTGTCGCGAAAATGCGCTTCGTACTTTGGTATTGTAGGTGCTCTATAACAGTGTTTCCCAAATTAGGACCGTGGTCCCCTTGGGGCCGCCAAAAAATGGGTCGAAAACAAAGATGCTGAATTAATTTTTATTCTAAATAAACAATAAGCCGAAAAAAATTATGCTGAATTGATTAAATTACAGGATTGCTTCATATTTTAAAATGAAAATTAGATAAGCTTACATAAAATTAAGCGTTTGTATTTAATTGCTCATCAGTCTACAAATTTAACCCAAACATAATAAATTGTTAATAGTCTAATTATAATACTTATAAATTGATAAGAAAATGCCACGTTAAATTACAAACATACAATTTAATAGAAAAATACTTCATATATATCATTGAAGTTCATTAGTAATTATTTTTTGAAATTTTATAAATCAAATTTTAAGGCATTTTTTATAGGCTGGAGCCTCAAACGTTTTTAGAACCTCAGACTAAAAGAGTTTGGGAACCACTACTCTAAAAGAGCATCAGTCTAATCCTACTTTTCCGTCAGGAAACAGTATCGCAAGAGGAGGCGTTAGGTACTGCTGACTAATTGCCTTACCAGTAGTCTATTACTCCACAAAAAGGAAATCCGGTGGCTCCGCGGTGGACAGAGCCCATTCTGTAGTTTTGCGCTTAACAACAAAAACAAAACAAGTTAGTTAAAAATTGTAGATGTCATTGTAGTCACTTGTATAGCTTTGCTCAAAAAGTTTCAAACAAAACAAAATTGAACAATTCTTGTACTACTAGCCCTAATAAAGTCGCAATGGCGAAACGTTGACTGAAATAAAAAGTGTTTTTCTTTTTCTATCTGAAGAATAAATATATTTTTTCTCTCTTACTTTATTGCCCTAAAAGTTAACTAAACCTTTTGCACAAAATATCAGTAAGTTGCTCAGTACGAAATACAAAAATCGTGAATCACTTAATGATTCTGAAGAGGTTAAAAAGAAATAATAACACGGATGATCTTAACATTTTGTAGGTCAAGAAAGCTTAGTATTATCTTTAAAGGAGTTAACAACAGCTGTTAAGGAACTACGATTTTTACTGGAGTCTCAGGTAAAAACTAGCAAACTATATATACATATAACAATAGTAGAATAAAGATTCTAATATTTAGCCTGATTCTTATCCTTATATTATTAGTAAGACTACTTAATAAAATGACAGTATTGCAAGCAAGTATTTATAGTATATTAATGTCCACTTATTTATCTAAGTTAAATTATTCTATACTGAAAATTATCAACAAAATATATTGTGAGAACTGATTACAGTCGACTGTTGATTTTATCTAATAGTGATTATTGTTTTATTTTGTAGATCATTATTTATATAGTTTTGACTATTATGTATCTCACTTGATTTGCGTTTCTTCGAAATCTTAAGGTAAATTATATTATATTTCGATGATCATGCGGCTTATACTGAACTGTGTTAAGTGTATATATTGTGCACCAACTTAGATGATTTGGTTTATTGCAGGAGATATATCCCACGACGTGTCATATATTTGATACATCATATTTAAAGTTTTGATATTAACTACACGGGTATAGATCGTTTTATGAATAATGTTGACAAAAAGTGTTTGAAAATTAATTATCAAGACTAATCACACTACAATAAGTACCGTAAAATGATTAAGTTGTGAACTGATAATTAGAGCTAATATAACTATAAACTTGTTTAATTTGTGTTATTTCATTATTTTGGAACGTTTAGACATTGGAGACAAAAATGCTACGAGAGTCGTTAGAAAAATGTGAAATTTGCAAAGGTGAGGAAATACGCATGTGATAGTGGTGTGGAATAGAAATGTTTTTATTGGATCATTTTGTTTGTTTGTTTTAAGGAAATACGCATGTGATAGTGGTGTGGAATAGAAATGTTTTTATTGGATCATTTTGTTTGTTTGTTTGTATGTACCACTCTACAGTCC